ATCTATCTATCTATCTATCTATCTATCTATCTATCTATCTATCTATCTATCTATCAGTAACACCTCCCCTCCCCCCCTTACTTGGACTCTCTAATACGTTTATCTATTGTTGTTAGCAATGCCATAATGTACCATAATATTCATTTGGTGATGTTAACACTGTCAAAATTGTGTTCTATGTCCCACTTTCAAATATTTTGTGGCTATTCAGAGCTGGAAAAGGGCAAACAAAACAGCCAGAAATAACAGAGTCAAAAAAAAAGAAATAGGACCAACCAGTGGCCCTCTCAATCCACCTACCATGTTCTTCCAAAGTAATACATATCCAGGCGTGTTAACTCTGTCATGTCTTCTATATCCCATCAACTGATAGTAACTTTGTAGTCTGACGGTAGCCATCCACAGTAGGGAAGGAAATGTTTAAAAACTGGAACATGAAATGTGAGAACCCTCTGCATGAAAAATCTGGACACAGATATTTTAGGTATTCAGAAACTCGTTGGACCGATGATAGTGTAATCAAGAAAAAAGGCTTCATCTTCCTGCAGTCCGGTGGCAATCAACATCTTCATGTATAGAGTAGGAATATTATATTACTAAAAAGAAAAGCATAAGAAACAGATTATGGGATACTGGCCAGTAAGCGAAAGAAACATCATGCAATCAAAACCGTTTAACATCGCAATACTCCAATATGCTCCAATCTCCACAAACGAAGATGAAAAGATTGAAGAATATTATGAAGAAATAGATAACATCCTGAAAGAAGTAAAATCGAACGAAGTACTTGTACATTGTCATAATGGGAGACCTGGATGCTAAAGTTGGAAAGTAACAAAAGAGGAGAAGACTCCTAAATGTTTGTGAGGAAAAGAATCTAATGATAGCAAATACCTACTTTAAAAAACCAGCAAGAAGACTATATATATGGAAAGTTTGACAGACACCAACTGGATTACACCATGATAAGAAAAAGATTCAGAAACAACATTGAACAATGTACAACATACCCAGGAGCTGACATAAACTCTGACCACAACGCTCTCATTTAAAACATTACAATCAAGCCGAAGAATTTATAGAAAAGGGCTAATAGGAAAACCAACATATCCATTGACTGAGGGAATTGAAAACAGAAGAAGAAAGAATGGCGTATCAAGTAGAAGTTATAAACACATACAAAGTTCCCACAAAGGCAGCAGTGGAGCAATTCAGAAGAGAAACTTGCTACGAAAAGAAAGACGTTGATTTTAAATTGAAAAAACTTCAGAGACAGCATCAAATGTGGAATAGAAAAAACTGCCAACAAAAGAGAACAACCAATAAACCATGGATCACTGTGGAATTCTTCGAACTAATGACGGAAAGGAAGAAAGCCGAAAAAACACACCAAAATACAAAGACTTTAACAAATTGATCCAACTAAAATGCAAAGAGGCCAAGGAGGCTTGGATTGAAAGGAAATGTTCAGAAATGAACATAAGAAATAAGTCAAACAACTCCAGAAAGATAATATATAACAACATTAAGGAGCTCATTGGAAGAAAGCACAACAAGAGATCGTCAGGAGGCGTTGAAGACAAGAAAGGCAAGAATATT